CCAATTCTTCCGCGGTGCATCGGAAACGCATTTTAATGACCGCATGGACCGATGCAGTGAGAGCTGAGAGTACTGTATTGGCTCATTGGTCCTCTGCGGCTTACAGGGGCACCTGTCGAGCCATCTCCCGCCTCGTTCGCGTATTTCACCCTCCTCCCTCCCCCCACCTTCGTAACAAGATCGAACATCCGACCGCGCCTGCAGAAGCCTAAACCGAGAGTAAGGCCCTGGCTATCGCGACCTTCAGGCCCGGTCTCGGACTGAAAGAGCGGATGGACGCCAGTTGGGAGGATTGTGTATTCTGTACAAAACAACTGGGGAAGGAGTTGGGGAGAGCTGGGCAGCCGGACGGGGGCACGTCCGGCGTTGGGAGAGCGGCGTCCTACGTGTCCTTCAGGGAATGCATCGAAGCATCCTACGCCAGGGCACGTCTGGCTCGGCCTTAACTCTGATTGGCCAGTTGGAAAAGCGAATGGGCGAACGCCAGGTAGGCCTGATGCGCACGTGCGGACACTCACGAGAGGCCCCTCGCTGCGACAGGCGTTCGGAGCAGGGCCACTGCAAGCTATCTTCTACTGGGTGTCATCCACGTGGAACTTTAAAATGCTGACTGTAGTATTCCTGATGTTTAAAGCAGGCCTTTTGGGACCTCGGGAGCACCAGTTCGGGACTAATTAGTGTTAGTGGTAATTCCGCATTGCAGGAGTTTAGGTTTGTCAGAAATTGGGTACGGGTGCTCCCAGCTAGACTTAAAATAGGTAGCGAAGTGGCGACAGGTAGAAGAGCCAATGTACCATTGTACATTCCTGATCGCAACTGACAGGACTACGGGCCGCGGCTCAGTGGTTTGAGGCGTTGGACTTCTAATTAACAGGTCGCGGGATCGAGCCCCAGGTGTTCCACACTTCGGGACTGGGTATGACTGGCTGACGGCGGCTAATAAGCTAAAAGTGGCCATTCCAGTCTCCCTTGTCTTTGTCGGTAATAATATTCTGCCTATATCATGTGCCGCTGCGCGGCTGCTGGTTAGGCACAACGGTACGAGTGAGTTCCGTAGAAAAAACGACCGGTGAACGTCCCTCTAACATTGTACGGCGCTTCGTTGTCGACGGGTTAGTCACCGTTGTCCGAAAGCGGTGGGAATTGGTAAATCGGGCTTTCTTGGTTTCATCGGGAGCTTGAGCGTTGGGAAGTGAAGAAAATAAAGGCCACAAAGACTGGGATGTCGGTTTCCGTCTTATCAGCCGTCTTCAGCCAACCACATGTCAGGATAAACTGAGCTTCGAACGCGGCTGCTTTGGTCATGGAGTGTTAAGACGCTCATGAAACATCCTCATCTGCAGCCATCTAATAAACTGAGCGCGCAAACTGGTATCGCTAAGTTTGGACAGTGAGGGGACTCCTGGTTGCGTTTTTTACAAGCAGCCACTTAGGAGTTGGCCAGCTTCCTCTGCGTTTTTAAGAGAAAGTGCAAATCAAAAACCAGGTAGGCGGAGTTACTGAGGCAGTATTTGCCTCGGCAAGGAACGTACAAGTGATTCATGGGGTCGACGGCAGCAAGTGCTAAATCAAGCCGAGAGCCAGTCATTGGTGAGCGTGCTCCTGGGCCGTGTCCAACTGCGACCAGTCGGTGAACCCGAAATATTGATCGGCGCCATGTCATCAAGTCGGACGCCGAGTCAAAAGCATTTAATTTACGGGGGTGGAGGGGTGTTCTGTTGCCGTCGCCACGAAGAGTAAACTGAAACAATTAGTTCACGCTGAAGCCCACGAGCCGTCCGCTCAAATGAGAACACCTGCGACCCCGGGCATCACTCTCCGGAGGGCAAGTTTTTGATCAAGAAGTGAGTACTTTTTACTGGATACTTTTCTGCAGCACGCGGTCTCGCCTGTACTCGTCGTTGATCTTTTGAGGAAGATTTGACGTCCAAGGCGTGGCCTCATCTCTTCGTGTGGCAACTCCACGAAAGCCTCTGAATTTTCCGGGACTGCGAAGTCTGCCAAATTTGCCAAAACGCCTATTAAAAGTGAGCCTGGTAGTCGGTGGATTTTAGCTTGTTTTCTTGGTAAAACTTGCTTGGGCAGTCAACCTACCGGATATGTGACGTCATAGTAGGTCGTGCAGGTGGTGTTAAAAACCTGATGTCTGCCGTCGGTTTTTTATATCGGTCTTTAGAGCATTTAAAGCCTTGAGGCTTGTGTCACGAGTTCGAATTCTCCTAGGTTTTTCATAGTCGGGCCGTCAGCTAAGCGGCCAAACCGTTCTTTTTGAATTGAGGAAGGAAATCCCTAGATATGATATTTAATGGTGATTGGAACGCTGATTACTGCAGGACAAGGAAAAAAATGACTGGGCAGTGTGGACCTTAGCAACGGGTTATTAATGGTATATTTTGCTAGAAATCGACGTAGAGGTTTTTATTTTCTGCAATCCCTTAATGGATGATCACATATTTTCAGGTTTTCTGTTTGAAAACATGTACTTTTTTGGACTCGCAGGGCTCAGTACTTCTCAGAACGATGCAAGACACTTTTAGTGACCGACTATAGGAGGTAGGGGAGTTCGCACCGTCGGAGAGCCGGTGTCGAGCATCGCAGTCCAACGTCCAACCACTCTGAATTCGTGCTGGCTGCCCTGGCGTCGCGGTGGGATCACTGACTAGATGCCGACCTTTGATTTCAACTGTTCCCCAGTTTAATTTATGGCACGATAGACTGTCGCCTGGGAGCTGCGCTGCGACGTTGCCCCGGTTACCGGCGCTCTCCTCCCCGACTCGCTCCTGCTCTGTTTCGCCATAATACACCGGCGAAGGATGACTAAATGCCTTATTCTACGCGCCTCCATTGCTTCTCTCACACGCACTGAAGCTCTCACGCCTGCAGGGCATATATTAAACTACTGTGGAAAAATTTAGTTTTCGACCGTATTCCCGGAGAACATTCCTCAGCCCAAAACCCTGACGTCAAGTCGGACGCCTATCAACTTTGCATCTAGTTCGAAGATGTTCGGTGGTTAAAGTGGACCAGTCGAATTCGAGATGTCGAACCTCCCTTTCGATCCGAAAAAGGCGAGTCGACATCTTTAATTACCCCTGCGTACAGTGAGACCGTGCTGCTATCTCTCGGTGCTCGCAGTGCGTAACTTCAGAGGAGAAGCCCAGGAAGTCGCAGCTGTGCAGTCCAGAAATGTATATAGTAGATGTGCTATCTCACGAAGGAACGACTGAGCGTTGTAACGACGAAAACTAGGCCGCCTCCTCTGATCAGAGCTGAATGTGTCGACGTCATAAGCGTACAACAGTCTACCGTCGCTGGCGCAAACACCAAAGCAGGGATCACTGCGTTCATTCAGCCTCGGAGGAAGCCAACCACAGGCATCTACAAACCCTGGGTCAATCTCACCAACTCGCCCGACCGAAATGGACCGGCTCTCGTGTTAGACGTACATACTTGTCCACGGACGCCTATGGTCGGTCGCACGTCGCTGTCACAAACTATCAGCAGACTTCCGTGGAGAAATAACGCTTCTTCCTGGAGTCTTTCCGTTTTCTCCAAAAAAACTGGAATTATTGGAATTGTTATGTTTATGACAAGTATCAAGGTGGCCTAGAAGTTGATCCATCGGTCGTATCATAAAGTGCAGCGGGAACCACCACGCCAAGCGCATGCAGGAGTCAGCAAGTAGCGTTTCCTGGTCATGCGAGGTATTTAGGCGCCGGAAATCTGCCGACGCTGCCTCTCAGAGGTCAGTCAGTCGGAACGCGTCAGTTTGACAACGTTGTCGCTTCCAGAATCGCCGCCTTGGAAACACAGGTTGAAAGACTAATGTACGTACAGTTGGTCCATACAACGGGTCGCGTTGTAGAGGTAGTGGGCATGGACAAGGACCAGATTGGGGTTCAGTACGCATCCGGCTACATAGAGTCCGTAGCCCACGCGTAGGTCACATGCGACCAATCCCAGCATCGAATGTTTGACCGGCTCGCGCAGCGGACTGGCGCAGGGCAAGGGGGGAAGAAAGTGAGGTCGACTCTGAGTACTCCGTCTCCACGAAGCCTCAGGGAATTCTTCACTATAACAAATTCTGACGTGCGTTAAAACTATCCAGATGCATTAAAAGCCGTGACTTGGAACGCTGCTAACTTGCAGGACGAAGAAGCAGGCTAAAATGAATCCGTTTTAATGTGGTTTCAATGGCATTCCCACTCCAATGGAATCCGAGCCGCTCCCTTGCTGTTCCGGTGAATATCTGGCCAGTTGTGTGCGGGCAAAGTGCGTATTTGGCGCGGGTAGAGGGGCTGCTCAGCCTTGTCAGTCGCCACGCTCCAGCTCTCCTCCGGTCATCCGGATTCTTTTCTTCCACCGGATCCAGGAAGGTGAGGAAGGAAGAAGTGTTGAGGACGATGGGCAAACCTGCCATCGCCATAAACTGAATCATGCGCAGATCACCATCGACAGTTCGACCGTCGTGCCGACGATGTCCACCGTGTGCGCCGCAGCAAGGTGGAACATGCATGATGACTTGTGCGTGATTTGGTTAATGGTGAATGTAGGCTTGCAGAGCACCCACCGCACTCTCACGTCCTCCCCACCTGGACCCTGTGTCAAGAGAGAGTCAAGAAGAGCGGGGGCGGGGGAGGGCGCGGGTGGATGGCACGGTGGGCCCCGCAGATTTGCGCTCCACTCCGCACCCCATGGTCCACACAACAAATGACCAGGTTTTTGACCAACAACAATAATTGGTGGGGGGGGGCGGCAGGGGTCACATTGTGCCGGCAACCGGGTCCGCCACCGCATCGCACCCCAGCATGTCGCATGATGTTCATCTTCCGTCAAACGCCACAGCCCGATGAAGGAGGCGATTACTCCTGCTGCACAAAAGAAGTCTAGAAGACAGGTCGGATCGCAATTTTATTTATTTTGTTGAATTTGTTCGGGACCCGTTAGTCTCAGACTGGATTAACTTGAGGAAAATAAGTGAAAGCTTAATTTTCGCGGGTTCACCCGAGAAACCATTGGGATTGGCTATCATCATCATCATCATCATCATCATCATCATCATCATCATCATCATCATCATCATCATCATCATCATCATCATCATCATCATCATCATCATCATCATCATCATCATCATCATCATCATCATCATCATCATCATCATCATCATCATCATCATCATCATCAGCAGCAGCAGCAGCAGCAGCAGCATCATCATCCTCATCAGTAGAGGGATATCTCCGACTTAACTCATTCTCAAGGCGGGACATTGCTGTAAGAATCTTTGTTGGCCATGACAAAGCCCCACACTTGCTGACTTTAGCCTTCGCATGCTTTGTTAGGGATTTTGCGAAGATTCTGCTTCTGAAATAGTAAAAAATTCCTTATTTGCGCTCTTGTCATATTTTTCTTAAAGTTGGAAAAAAGAATAAGTGATCCTCAAGACAGAATCGTCGCTGAACTGGATACAGCAAAGTCTACCCCTCCGGGTTGTACAGTAGATGACCTAACCTATGAAATGTCGAGACCGGTATTTGAGTTGAGGGGACGGCATATATTTGGTGTGGTTATTTTTATTTTTAGAATTGATTAGGATCCCAAACTGCCCTTTTCTAAAGAATTGGTCGCGTTGGTTCAGTTTTTTTTGAGGGGAAACGGAACAAAATTAGGCAAATTTTGACGTCTCCGGATATTCATTCAATTTCCTATTCCAATAAGTATCCCATATTAAAACCTTTTATTTGCACGCGTTGAGTTATAAAGGAACTTTCATCTAGCAAAGAAAAATATCAAAGAAGGCCACTCTGGAAATGGGAATTTCGATTTTTATTTCATGAAAATCAGGTCGAGTCAAGTATGTAAAAACACATTATTCTCAGGAATCAATAAGTAATTTGTTCTTGTGACGTTTTATATCGTTAAACGCAGTAATAAGGTTGTTCGACTGTGTTTGTTTTAGTACACCGGGAACTAATAGGCGTAAACACGTATATATAGATTGCGCGCTACATGCTGCAACTTTTCTTCGCCACGCCGTGCAGCAAAGGTGTCAAAACAGCTCCTATCGGAAGTTGGCTTTGAGCGGATACGAAAATTGGCAGCCGAAGGGCTGCCGCATGAGTCGTTAGCTAGTATTTTCACCATTAGCCAGGTCAATCTCTGGATAATTATTAATAATCTAACAATGCCTAGAACTAAGCAAGGTGGGCCAAAACGGTCCACAAGCAAGCAAGACGACGATTTTATTTGTCGGACACTGAAAAAGTATCATCATATGCCCCTTAACGCTATTTACAGGGAACACCTGTCAATGTTTTCTATGCGCATAACTAGAGAAGGAATGAAAGAGCTAGGTCTCCATCAGCAAAACGCCATGACAAAGCCATTTTTAACTAGAGAACTTATAAGAGAACGTTTTTTGTTTGCTCAAAAATATATTGATCACAGGACTTCCTTCTGGAAAAGCATTTACTTTTGTGATGAGATCTTATTTTTAGATAAACCTCCGAAGTCGGCCCAGGTGGTCATATGTGGAAAGAACTTTCCATGAGGGCACACTATGTCGACGCCAACTTTCAAGAACTGCCGACGCCTGATGGTTTGGATGGCCATCAAATTCGGAGAGCGACCGAGCTGGCGTTCAACAGTGGAGACGATAAATAGCAAGGTGTTCATTGATATCGTAAAGGATGTCTTCGGTTACAAAGGCATTCATAGACGTCGACTGGACACTGAAATGCTGCAGGATAATGCCCTTGTCCACCGCTCAAAGGAGGTATGATTCCAATTCAGTCTACAAATATAATCTAATATTTTAGACCACAGCCAGCCTCTCTGACTGCGGCCTTCGAAACATTTTTATCCCCGCAAACAGCCTGGACCTAAATCCCATCGAAAATCTTTCTGCATTAATCAAAAGAAATTGGGACAAGGCAAGGAAACATATTTCTATGGATCAGAAGTTACACTTTTTTAATAATTACATAGACCAAACCACCATAGACAACTTGGTAGTCTCCATGCCCTCCCGCCTTACAGCAACTTTAAAAGCTAAAGGACAATCAAAAAAGTACTAACACGTTGTATTTATTCCTGTTTTTCATTTTTTTGTCGTTTTGTGAAATTTCCCTTCTCTGCTGACAGTTATATTAAACCCTGAATAGTTGGCCTGTCATGCAGTCGATTTTTTGATTTGGTGGTTTTTCCTAAAATAAGTAATTTCTTAGTCAGTAAATAATACTTTATAAACCAAACCATGCCTTGTTTTGAAGCTCGGTGGTATATTTAACGCAGTGATAACTTTCGTGGATGTGGGGTGGCAGTATCATGCGCTACAGCGATTTAAGTTCACAGTTCGTGACATTTCATCAGATAGGTCACGAACTGTATATAACAGTGACATGAACCGACCTGTCATGGTTAAGGGACGGAAATCAGTCTTACCGATTTGCGTCAGATTTGAAATGCCACCGATTACACAAACGGTTACATGGTGATTAGCAGTCAATACTTGGGAATTGCTTATCGATAAAGACAGAGACATTGGAATAACCGTTTCTGACGTATTTTCCATCAACCCAGAAATACAAACCCGCCTCAGATTTGAACTTCAGGTGTTTAAACAGGGGTTGGATATTACTGACTGATTACAGAAAATAAGCCAGAACTGGCCATTACTAAAACTTCTCAACAAACTTCAAGGTCGCGAACAGCATAGTCGAAGGCCATTTTGTCTCCACCCGCCACCTTTAAAGCCAACTCAATTGGGCTGTGTATGTTTACCTCCAAATAATTAGGGCGGGGCACTTTTGTTGGGTAAAGTTAGCAACCCCTCCCTAAGTAAACAAACATTCTGAAAAGGCGCTATGATAAGGAGAGGGGATAAAGTAACGAATTGAAGCGGACACGAAGACTCACGTGTTATTGGCCAAAATCACCAAATGGGTGCTCAAAGAGGAAATACCATTTGGCGGGGTCTGTAATACCGATTAACATCCAATATGATGATAGCTCAACTGTCGTCAACTGCGCAGTCCAACATTGTCTCACAAGATCGGCCCAGTGGTGACTTGCACACAGATGTTTTTTGTAATGAAACGGACCTGCATAGCATCTATCTCACTCTACCACCCCCCCCCTCCTTGTAATCCAGATCCAGAACGACCGGAAGAGTAAGTGGAATGCAAAGGTGGACAAAATTAAACAACTCATATGTGCGTGCCATACACCCACAACCTCGTTCCCACATACACACGTATTAGCTTTATTTTAAGGGTTAAAGAACTCACATGATTGAAGACGCCGTAAGACGAACATTAGGAGGAAATCCCTCAGCTTAATTCAGTCCTGAGTTGCCCCTTTAATTGACAGCCACATGTCACTCAATTCAGGGTGGAATAAGGCCTTTTGACTGACGACCTTTCAGTCACTTTCTTTAATCAGACCCAGCTAAAACTGGTCAATTAACAAACGTGCAATGTTTCCAAGGTGTTTCCATCCTAGCATAAATACAACCTTGGGGTCTCACAACCGGGTGCAGGCAGCCGACCGAACAGCCTCAGGAGCACGATCGGACGCAAAGTGACGCGCACAAAATGAACCTCCATCCCTCTAATGCTGAATGCGTGGGCAGCCCATCAGCTTCCGATCATGAAGCGCCCGCTTTTTGTCCAAGATTTTAACCCCACAGTGAAGATAACCCAACCATTGCCTTCTTCTCTTCTATTACCCCGATCGAGAATCGCGCCTTTACCATAATCGACATAAATACAGTCATATATGGCACAAGGAGGCACAAACAATTCATCTCTTGTATTCAACTTCTAAAAATAACGCATTCTTGAAGTTTCGCACTTGAGGCGCGGATGCATTTAGGCTTTTAAGAAATCAGTTACGAGAACTGTTAAGCTTTCATAGTACACTCGCATAGCCTAATGCCTCAACCTTAGTAATGTCGCTTGCAAGGGATGCAACGTTTCTATTATCCCCAGGAAATTCCTTTATGGGGCCAAAAAGACTAAGGAAAAGGTGTTTGTGCTTCAAAGCCCGCAATTAATTGTCAAAGGAACATAATTATAAAGCTTCGCTTTTTCTTTCCAACACGAAACTGCGAGGAGAGGCAATGTCCTACAAAATTCTTGTAATAAGGGGACTGAAGTCTTGGGGACGAAAGTCGGAGAGCAAAAGGGACTCACAATAATTCCAAATTATAATGCTGAATCCAGCCCGACCTGACTAGCAACCGCGCTGGAAAGCACGGCCATGAAGCCGAAAAAAAACCCTTGATGAGATGCGGACACTCTGAACGCTCGATGATTCCTCTGCAAAACTCAGGTGTGGGCTCTCGCACGTACGCACTGCGTGTCGAGGAAGGATCGAGATTCGGTAAGATGTGGTTATGTTGCCCCACCTGATGGACACAATACTGTTTGGGGTTGGGTCTAGGGCAACTATTTCGCAACCATTCAAAGAACAACCGCGCATTCTCAATAGCTTTTCTTTTGTACACAACTACTTGACCTTGTCGCCTGCGCGTTCCCCGGCCCCACCTGTAAAAACCCCCTATTACCATCGGTCTCTTATTACAGGTGGCCGGGGTTTGTTTACTTCAGGTGCGGCTACATAATCAAATCTGACCATTGATTCGTGCAGGATGGTCATCCAATGAAGTTTGCTTTCTTTAATTACGCAAACTCCCTGACTGGCACTCGTTTCAAGTCGCTTATGCACCTTCACAACTTAAATCTTATACACACCATCCAATATTTGTGACATTCGATTCGGGAACTTTGCTGAAGTCGTTGATGTCTTGAAGGACAGCGATGGAGTCTGAACCCTGGCCTACGCAGTGGGCTTGCACGCAGCTTAGTGACCTCACTCGCCGCAATCTGTAGAAAATCTGCTTGACCTAGGCCACTAGTTTCGGTCGCTCTAATGCCCCTTCTTATCAGTTACTCGCCCACTGTTAGGTACCATGCCATAGATATCACCCCCCACCCCGAGCTAACCGAGCTGGCACGGCGACAAACAGCAGGCTGTAGCGTATATGAGCAGTTTCAGCGACAGATGTCGCGTGCAACACTCTTCCACTACTCCGGAAACCCTCCCCCTTCGCCGTCACCCTCTCCTCCATCCACACCAATCTATTCAGACAACCGAGCTGGGCAGATTCGAGGCGCGGAAACGGGCCGCAACATAAAAGTCCCGTCTGGTCAACCACGACAAAAAGTATCGCTGTGGCCAAAAATAGTTCGCTTGCTTAGTGATCCGTACCAAAAGAGCTGGCTGACGTCAAAGCATAAACGGAGTCTTTCGCATCACCAAGCATCTGGCATTGTTCTAAACTGTCCGTCTAGATAAATACTAGAGATGTAGGTCCAGAATTGCTGACGTAGGTACAACAGCGACCGGTATCTCTACATGAGCTTTTGAACAGGAAAGTCGGTCAAATGTGACTGTAGGACAAATTCATCCTATTTTGGGAGTCATTTAATTCGGGCATGCTGGCATAGTGCCTTCAGGTGGTACATTTTTGAGTCCCGCGTTGTCAGCGCTCAAAAACGACTAATATTTATATACAATTAGTGAGCCAACTCATGAAATGTGTCGAGATTTACGAATGATTGCCAAGCATTGGCAAACCGACACCATTTCATGAGTCCAATGTCTATGTTAATTAAGCACAAGTATAAAAGAATTAAAAACATAAAAGAAATATTAAAGGCAGTGTTGCGATGTTTAGAAATGCCGATTTATTTTGAAAAGCGCAATATTCCGAAAACGTCGGGAATGGCTCTAATTTAGTTATCTTCGTTTTTAAATGTGTGGAATGTATTCTCATACCAAAAACATAGTAAATATGAAAGTAGAAATAAAATAACGTATAATGGGGATGTTTCAGTGAAGTTTACAGCTAAACACCGTTTAATAAGTAGTGTGAGTTCATATATGACGGTTTGCCAACTGTCAACTGCCTACATGATGAGTGTAGATTCCAAAACAGTTTTCCAATGAGTCGTGTTATTTTTGACTCGTTTGAAGTAAATGAGATGCGGTTCAAGAAGAGAAGATGGGATTTGTTTGATTTCACTGATGGGGGCTTCGTAGGAACAAGAGTTTTCATAACGTGACATGCCATGACGCCAGTCGGTGCCTAATAAATTTAAATAGACAGGTGTGATCGTAAACATACAATTTTGTGTTAATAGAGAGAAAATTTCTTCCGCCAAATTAATTTACACCTTTCGTTCGTTTTTGATTACGTTGAGTTTCAGGTCGGCCTCGAAGTGTTGCTGAATACTTCATGATTTTCAGTGTTTTCACCCGATCGTCCATAAGGACAGATTCTGAATTACCTGTCTGTTGAGAACTTTAAAATAAGATTATTCTTGAAGCCATTTACCGAATTAGTGAGCGCTCGGACGCTCCTTTTTACGAAGATGGTCTTTTGGATCACATTCAAACGCCAAACTTCATTTTCGAGAAAAATGGCTGTCCACAACGAAAGTTAGCAACGAATATGCCTTCGATCTATAAGAAAACGTTCCTTAGTAATTTACCTCTTTAGGAAGTGCTTTCTTACTGCACTCCGTTGACGGATCTCTGTGTACTTTGCATTCTTGCACGGTGAGGCCAGGTAAAAATTGGACACTTTTGGCCGTTTCTTTCGCGTTCCTGAGAAATACTAATATTTTTCTACCTTACGTGTAAGCAGATGCCTTCATCTATACATTGAGATCATTTTCACTGTTTTTGCTTGCATTTAGACTCCGTTCTTCGATTATGAATGCATGGCAGAGCACCCATATAAATACTGATATTTCGCTGAAACTATTAATGTTTTGCCCGTTCTATTTCTGACTAAGGTATGCACGGAAACTAGACTACACGACAAGTAGTGTTTCACATGTTCAAAACTGGAAGTGACCATTTGGTGGTGGTCATTTATGTGACATCAGGTTGAATTTTCCAAATGGGAAAACAATTTCAGCCCATTTAAACGACGGAGTCCCTATCTGCGTTATTACTGCACTTTAGGTCACCAAATCGCACAGATCTGCTAATTTGACGTTTAGTA